GTGACACTTTTTAAGCAGCAATGGCAACACACGTCCTCAGAGAACCTTTCTTCATTAAGATCACAAAGAGCTTTTATTGTACTAAACGCTGTACAAAGTATAACAAATAGACACCCTCAGTAGTTGGTGTTTTCAACCCAAGACAATTCCATCAAGCCAAGGCACAAAGGAAAAATATACAAAAGCAATGACATAACTAAATCAAGATGCATTTATTTTATGCGCAAAAAGAGGGGTGAGTACAGGGACTCTTAGCAGTAACTATTCGGACTGGGAAGGGCAAGCACTGCCAACTTCCTGACTCTAGTTAACTAAGTGCGTGGGAGAGGGCAGGACACCTGTGACCTTGGACATTTCAACTGGATAATTAACCATTTATTTCTATTAAGTGCCCATGATGTGTATCATTGCCTATTTGCTGCAGATACAGAAACGTCAAGATGAAATAGGTCACCATCCTCCACCTCGACTGGAGACCCACTGAGCTGATAGCACAGGATCCTGGACTTGCGTCCTCTGTAGGTCCTCCCACTTTGCCCCTACTGCCAGGATGTCAGATGGAATTCCCCATGGCAGGGATGGGGAATGGCATTCCTGCAGGTGGTACAACAGCTCACTGACCGATTTCTCCTCCTGTGAAAGTGACTGAGTTGGGAAAATGGGGTAGAGTCGAACTTTCCCTACAGCCACCTGTCTTCTGAAATGGGCTTCGTGAAGAGAGCAACTGATCCAGCCAGCAGTCTGTGAAATGATCACAGGCTAACATCGAGGGCCTCCTCATTTTGACCTTGCCCAAATTTCCCTTCAGGTGGCTGTAAAAAGTCACATGGGGAGGAGAGAGTCTATTTAATAACATTGTGATGAATTAAAGTAGGATATATCTGATAACACAACATTACTACTTGATTCTATTTGATCAACATTACTATCTGATCCTCATTTGTAAACGGGCATTGTCTTAACTACCGAGTTCAGGAAAGTAATTGCAAAATTTTCCTGGTTAATTATTAATCTTCCTAAGGGACAGAAGAAATCCAGAGCAAAGTCAGGGCTGGAAGGGACTTGGAGAGGTCATTTATCTCCTGATTTCAGAGAGAATATTGCAAACATCGCAAACAAATATAAACCTATTTTTAGATGGCTTCAGGAAAAAAGTTTACATTTTTCTAGTATCCAAATTCTCCATTTTATAATACCCTTCTTCTTTATATCTCCTCTAGTGGTCCTCAAACTTTCATGTGCATTAGAATCTTTTGGGGGGGCCTGTTAAAACATAGATTGCTGGACCCCACCTCCACAGTTTCTGAATCAATAGGTCGTAGGTGGGGCCTGAGAATGTGCATTTCTCACAAGTTCCCAGGTGGTGCTGATGCTTGAGGGTACCGAGACCACACTGTGAGGACCACGGTTCTAACCTAACCCTTGCTGGACTGAACCCTTATATTCTCAATGGAAATAGATACCAGTTGGTCATCACTCCTTGGTACTGAGGCATACATATACTTAAATAACAGTTCAAGAGTCCTCGTCATTTTTTCTCCCTCCAGACTAAATAATAGAAGTTCCCTAACATCTTATCATAGGTATCACTTTTCAACCCTTTAATCATTTTTTGAGGTTCTCTGTTGAGCCCTCTCCAAGTCTCTCTTAGTTGTGGAGCCATGAACTAGCCCCAGAACCTTAGTCAGACTGGATGAGGTTGAGTATAAAGGGAAAAATGACTCACAATTCATACAGCATCCTCCTATTAATCTCCAATACCCAAACCTGCCTTATTAGTTCCCTTGTGAATCATGCTCTTCTGACTCCTTTATGAGCTGCAGTAATGCCTAGCTGACCTTCCCAAGGCCTTTCTTCTGAGAAGCTCAAAGACTTCTCTAACTAATTTAACAGTGACTCAACATCCTAAACGAGTGTAGGGTTAAGCAACTTGTTCAACTGCATATCAGTTTGGAGGGGAGAGAAAATCTGGAACCCAAATTCAGATTTCTATCCAAATATCATTATATGCAGACAGATGCTTCTTAAATTTATTGGACTTGATGAGATACCAAGTTTACCTCCTGTAGAGAATAATAGTAGTTCCAGGTGCAGGTGAAACTACCGAATCTCCTTCCCTTTGTGGGGGAACTGTAACAGAGAAGTGGAATTAAGGATAAGGCTTCTGGGGTCGGTCTTGCACTCATCTCCATCACTTCCCCAGCTGCTAGAAGAGAGGGGGAAGCAGCACCCTGGTGGCACTGCAGTCTCTCCTAATCCATTTGGCAAAAGACACAAATGAACTGAAAGCTAACCCATGAGCTGCCCTCGACCCACCCCACTCCTTCCTGTTTTCCTTTTCTTTGTGTTCATATTCTTTTTTCTGCCAGTTTACTCAGTGTGTATGTTGGGGGCCCAGTCTCTGTGTACTGCCTAATTCAGCACGTGAGTTCTTTGAGAGTAGGAACTATGCTTTCTTTGTGCATCGTATGTGCTCTGGGGATGCTTAACACATGCTAGATAATAACAGCAGTCCCAGTATTTCCCGGAGAAATCCACATTCCTGCCGAGAGTTGGATCCTATCACCATACACTTGCGGACGAAACAGGCAAAGCTGAAGGTGTCCCTCTGCTCACTGCTCATTTTAGATAAAATGGTTGAAACTCAATATAACAAAGCCTATTCCCATAACATTTCCTTTTGAAAGAGAACATTCTAGGGATGTATCACCGAGCACCTGCATTCAGCTCCAAACCAAAAGGTAAGCTGTTGGATAATGTAGTTCCCATATAGCCAGGCAGACAAGTTACCTATTAAAAACCTCATGTGGATGAACAGGACCCAGAGAAAAGATTCCTTTCTGTTTCCCTGAAAAATCCCTCAAAGCTTCAGGGCAGAAGGCTATTCTCGAGGAGTAAAGTCACAGTAAAATACATCTAGTGCAGCCAGGAGCTCTGGGTCTCTAACTACTGTAAGAGGTAGAAGACTAAGATGAGAGGGTGGGCCACCAGTGAGAGTGGCTTCAACGGGACTGGAGGACAGATAGGCAGAAAGTTACCTGCAGGTAAAGGCGATGGCGATTGAAGGTGCAGGTGTGCACAGCACGTGGATGGAGCCCTGGGCTGCTGGACATTGCTACAGGCCACAGAGCTGCCCATGTTTCTCGGCATCTGGACCCCCACTGTGCGACTCTGAGCTGAGCTCATTGTGATCTGTCATGCCCAAGGTCATGACTAGTCAAGAGAGCCTCTACTCAGGAGGGAGCCATGACCGGTATCACTTCATCAGGCACACAGGGCAAGAAGCAGTGAAGAGAACCACGGCACCAGCGAGCATGAGAAATTCCGACACTGACACATAATCAAAATGATCTCCTCTTTCATTCACCTGTATCACTCTCTCACAGCACATAAATCATTAGAAGAAACACTCTGAAAGTGTTTATGAGCATTTTAGCAATTCCTCCTAAAGGAACACATGCTTCCTAGTAATAAAAACACCTATGGAAACTTCTTTCTGTTAAATTGAAAAATGGATACATTTTAAACAGCTTTTCTTTTTTGCAAGACTAAACTACAATTGATTTATGAATAACAGCTTGAAAACTATCTAATATCTAACTACACTATACCTTTAAAAACACTCCACTGAGATTCTGATGGTGTCTTATGAACAATTAAAAGTAAGAATAAGAAAGGTTACTTTCTTTGGATAAAAGTATATATTATAAAGCACATACTGAAACAAAGTCCCTTTTACCACTGAGGATAACATTACTGACTTGTCTGTTACAATTACAGTTAATCTGGACTGCAAATTTCTCTTCTGCTCAATAAAAAACTTAAGTTTTAAAAAAAGTTTCTTTCTAAAAATAGCCTAAGAACTCAGTTCTATTTTCCCTTCTTACATTCTTTTCCTACTAAATGTACCACTGAAACATTTCCTTTCATTGTTGACACCTTAGGTCATTTGGATTTAAAATCAGACAATGCATAATAACAAAGAAGTCTTTAAATAAAGCTTTTCAAAATGGGAAAATGGCACTTGAGGGCATGCTTCTCTCCTTGCTCATAGAGAGAATAGATATGTGGATGCCTGGCAAGCAGCTACTACACCACCTATTAGAACTGTTTCATTAAAATCAACATTTCTGGAGGGGATATAATTTATGCGTTAATTGATAAAGAAATTCCTGCCTGGTTGTGTGTTATAGCAAGTTGTTTGGCATGAAGTCAGTGTACTCTGAATTAAAATACTTTAAGCAGAGTGATTCAGATTTAATTTAAAATGTTCAATATTAAAATCCTTAGTTTTCTTCAGTCCAAATTTAAGTTGGCAATGACTTGTTAAGAGTAGTTAAAATTAGAGAATTTCATGGCCTTTGGTTAATTTTGACAACAAACTCAATCTTCCAGAGGATGCTTTCAATTACTTTCTAAAGCATTCCTCCTAAATTTATTTTATTTTTTTAAGTGCTTCTCTTTAGGAGTACATGCGTCTATTTTTAAGCAAAATAAAATCCTCTTTAGAAGAACAAAATCCTCCTTAAAAAAATAAAAACTGTCCATCTATACATTTTACAAAATTACACTTGACACTCATTATTTCTGGAGCATAAACTTGTAGCTCAGGGTGGGTATGTTATAACAGGAAGCCGCTTTCAACATTATTTTCTAATAAGAATTAGATTACTATAGAAAATAAAGCTCAATGATACAACTATTTCCATTAATCAAATATTTTAACAGATAAAATAAGTAATAATCTACAGACTGCTTTTGCAAAGACAAAAATAGTAAGAATGAAATACTTTCTCTTGGGAAAATTGAATAAGGCAGGTTTCTTGCAGTAAGACACATTTAAAGAAAAACCTTTTGCCACCATCCTTAGGATCCTCTAAAGTACCCACTCCAAAGTTTCCAGTTTTCCTAAGAGATAAAAAATTACTATGATGGCAATGTTAGGAAGATTTAAGAAGAAAAGAACAAAGAGAAATCTTAAAAGTTCACCCAGTACTTACAAGTACTTTCAAAGGAAATCTGAGCAGCAATTCTTCAGAAGACTGCTCTCCGGATCATAAACACAATCTGAAGTCTAAAATAGATATCCCATCACACTAGGCCGAGAAGTCACATTTCAGCTTACTAACTTCTACTTGGGTAAACAGTTTTACAACTCATAGAACAAATCCTGGCTAAAATTAACTGCCCCGGCGCAGCAGGCAGGAACTCGCTGCTATGCATCATGTGTGCCGGGATTTATTCACTAGGACAACGTCGGTGTCCTCTTAATGGGAAATCTGGCCAAGGGGCGTGCTCTGTGAACAATACATAGCATCATGATTATGCTAATTATTGACTTCAGTCCAATAATACTAACTTCTTTTAAGTTGTTTTTGCAAGTACTGACAAAGAGAAAGAGTAAGCTCTTTTTCACAACAGGCATTCACTTGATTTTTAAGCTTTCAAATCAGACAAAACTTTGGCAACAAGGTGGCAGTGCTGTATGCTCTTCACAAGGAAAAGCCAAGTGAAAGGACACCATCAGATTATTTAAACAGTATGAGTAGATGCGAGACTATGTGAAACTAAATAGGCATCAAATACACATACCAATAAGTCTATCAACAAGTAGCCTTAAATGAAAGCTTTTTTCTTGATATATAATGAACTAATTTTGTTTACTTGCTTTCTGGCTTTGTCTTCTGCACCTCCCAAAGAGTTGCCATCAGGACATAGGTTCACTAATAAATTACAACCGAGAACGAACATCTCAAATATTTGCAAAAGGCATCATCCTTGGCAAAAAGCATTTTGAAGTGCATTTAACTGCCTGGCTGGCTGGAACTGGTAAGTGGTCCTCTATAGGTTACTGACCATCTATAAAGCATGTTGAAGCTCAAGTTAAAGACCCCAAGTATACAGGTGGTATTTTTTAAAAAATTACAAGTAACATGGAACTTTGCTTAAAAAATAGAAACTCCCTTAATAAATACAATGTACATCAAAGACACAGAATTGCTTAATATCTACTCAAGATGGTTCAGACTAGTTTGTTTTAGACGTTTAAGTTCTTTTTTTTTGGGGGGGGAGGAAGATCGGCCCTGAGCTAACATCTGCCAATCCTCCTCTTTTTGCTGAGTAAGACTGGCCCTGGGCTAACATCCATGCCCATCTTCCTCCATTCCACATGGGACGCCTGCCACAGCATGGCCTGACAAGCAGTGCATCGGTGCGCACCCGGGATCTGAACCAGCGAACCCCGGGCCGCCACAGTGGAGCACGCGCACTTAACTGCTTGCGCCACGGGGCTGGCCCCTAGACGTTTAAGTTCTGATGACATCTTTTGCTCTTACTGGATGCTTTATGAAAGATATCAAAACATCAATCAGGGCCAGCCCCATGGCCTAGTGATTAAGTTCAGCATGCTCTGCTTCGGCGGCCCAGGTTCAGTTCCTGCGCGCGGACCTACACCACTCATTGGCGGCCATGCTGTGGCGGTGTCCCACATACAAAATAGAGGAAGACTGGCACAGATGTTAGCTCAGGGAGAATCTTCCTCAGTGAAAAAAGAAAAAAAAATCAATTAAACCTCCAAACATCTCTGGGAGTTAATCGTTTTTCCATTTTTTTTAAACAGATGGGTAAACGGGGAAATTCAATGACCTGTCCAAGGCTTCTCTCTGAATCCACACTGAATTACTCCATCCCCTCCAACCCTCTCTATGACATGCCTTCCATATTAACCATTTAGCTATAATCCTATAGATCTTTTCAGTGCTGTTTGTTTTCCTAATTTAAAAATGTTGTTTGTCAATTTAGACTTCAAGAGATTTATTCTACTCAACTCCCAAATTTACTCAGGGATTTACTCTTTGACTCTCTATTGCAGGCAGGTATCCTGTAACCATGGATCCTTAAGATATGATCATGTCCTTAGGAAGATTGTCCACCCGTGGCACCCATACCCAGAATGGCAAATGGGTTGATTTTCATTGGCATGAGCTGGTAACCACAAGCACAATGCCTCCCCCTGCCCCGCCCCCCCGATTGTTTACAAAAACTGCTGGTTGCTAGTCTGGGATTCCACCCCCACTGCCCAACTGGCAGCTGTAGCCAGCACTTGCTCCACCTCCACAAGATGGTAGCTGGCGCACACTCACCACCACCCCAACCCAGTCACTGGAGGTGGGCATCCCACTCAGAGCCAAAAGGAAGAAGTTACACACTTATCAAAGATAGCTGACCTCTGATTAATGTAATTAATTCCCTCTGATCCACAGCAAACTTACTCTTCAATTCTTAATGCCAAAAGAAGACACTGTGAGGCTATTTTTGACACAATTATCCTTATCCTATTATGTCATAGTTCAGTAGAGGAGTTTCTAAGCCAAAACATTATTTCTTTCCTAAACCAGACAGTAAGAAAAAGCAAATATGCCAAGTTTATTTATGCACCAGATTTTGCATCAGAGAGGAACAAGATAGTGGATCCTACATCTATTATACTGAAGGCAGGGGACACTGAGCAGTTTTCCAGTTCCTCATATGTCAAATATGCTGAGTATGACTCCACTGTTTCTTTCAACAGCAGCCATACCTGTTTCAAAATGCAAGAACCAAAACATTCCAAAGAAAATAGTGTATCCTCCAATTACATTAGTCACTCTGTTGCTTCATTTTTATTAGCGAAAATAATTTAAGAGTCAACTGTACTTCTGTTCTAGGCATACTTAAGACTTAGAGAAAAATCTATGTGCATCATTAAAAGCAAGGTAAATTCTTCCCATTTGTTGCCATGAATTTTTGATGGTGGGGGAGGAGGGATAGGCAAGTGGAGGGTGGTGATGGTGGGGAGGAGG